AAATTGCTAATAGCAGCCACTGGTGCCGCCACTGCTGCCAAAAACAACAACAACAACAACATTGTTCAGAAGGGGGCAGCCTTTCTCCCATCACTTGTGGGTGAAAGAGGGCTTGAGATGTCCTGCTTTGAATGGCAAAGAAAGGGTGTTGCACTTTTTAAAAACATGCTCCTCACAATGCAAGTCTTTCAAAGCCCACTTCCTCTTCCTGACACTGTTCAAAAGGAAGAAGGAAAATTAAAGCCAAGAACTGAGAGATATTTAGGGAAAGTGAGTAGAGGAGGGAAGGGAAAAAGGGAAGAGGAAAGAAGGCACCACTTCATTGATATATCACCTTTGGTAATTAAAAAAGAAAAGGACAAGGAGAGGGGCTAATTTCCCCCCAAGAAACAGTAGAGAAAATGAAGAGATACAAAATTAAAGATAACTGTAGCCTACTATAACGGTTCAAATAGAAAGAAATTAATCAATGCAGTTTTTAAAAATGTGAACACTCCTACCAATATATATAAACCATATGACTGTTGAAAAATGTATCAGTACACAATATATATAAACCATATGACTGTTGAAAAACGTATCAGTACACAGAACTATGAAAAGAATCAATCTAACTGGGGTTCTTTTCTCATGGAAACGAAACGAACACAGAACTATGAAAAGAATCAATCTAACTGGGGTTCTTTTCTCACGTATCATCGAGCCTTTAGAAACCAATAGTATTATCCCTTCTTCCATCCCTTCACAAGAACGCTATGCATGCAAGTGATATAAATAACTAACAGTATGTTCAGTTATGGGTTAAGAATCTTCCGTTGCAGGTGTTCTTCCTGGAGCTGCTGAAGGAAGCCAGAAATGCCAAAACCTTTCCAGAAGGTGTGGTTAAAATGATATTTTCCAATATCTCATCCATTTACCAGTTCCATGCAGAGTTTTTCTTGCCAGAGCTGCAGAAGCGTATGGAGAACTGGTGAGTCATAACAGTTAGACCCCTTCCTTCTCAGACCACTATGAGGGAACAACACGGAAGGGAATAATGAAAGCAAAAGCACAAATATTATAGGTGTTGAAGTCTAGACTCTGACTAGAAAGCGAGTTTTAACTAGGTGGATTGAATCTCCAACCATAAAAACAGATCTGTATTATGTGCTATATTATTTAATAGAACAAAGGACTGATAGATGTGTGTGTTCTGTGCTTTCAAGTTGGAACCGATTTACAGCAACCCTAAAAGGGCTTTCAAGGTAAGTAGGATGTTTACGGAGTAGTTTTACCAGTTCCACTCCCCCAGTGAGTTTCTATGGTTGGGCGGGGATTTGAACCCTGTTCTCCACAGTCCTAGTCTGTCACTCTATCCACTACACCACACTGGGAATCAACTAATGAAAAACAATGGATAAGTTTGTGTTTCTCTAATCATGGGCAGAGAAAAGCACAGTGTTTTGGCAAACAGTCATCATTACAGAACACAGTCTTGTAACTGACGGCTGATGGTTAATGTAGTTAATTCTCTCACTGTTCCTTACTAA